AAAAAAATTCTTTAGTCATTATTACTAATCCAGAGAGTTTTTGAAGAGTATGCTATAGGCTATATGCAAATACTATACCATTTATTTCATATGAAACTTGAGTATCTGGATGTAGGTTTCTCCAAGGAGTCCCAGTTATAACAAAGGCAACTAAGTATATATAATGACTAAAAATAGTTTCTATTCTGAACTGAATCTGGATGGGTTAAAGAATTTTCATCTGTCATCTTCTGTTTTACTGGCATATAGATTTTAATGAAATTCTCACTGAAAATTTCGATTAAATGAGTATTAAAACATCACCAGAGAATCGAAGAACAAATACGAAATAGGCAGCTTTTTCTTTGTGGCCTAAATCTTTCAAAAGGCTACTAAGTTTAGTATTCAGATGTTGTTTGAGAAACTGGAAGTCCTTATTCCTGCTAAAATACTTTATTCATTGTGAAAAGAACTGAAGATATATATTTAGTTTCTTTCTTAAATATATTAAATAATTCTTAAAAAGAAGAGATATGTACTTTATAAAGTACCACTAATATAGGTAATAAAATCCTATATTCTCATTACATTCAATTAAGTACCTAAAAAGTACTTTTTAAAAACTCTGTTGTATTCTCAAAAATCTAGAAATGAGGGGTTTTAAGCACATAAAATATATATAATAACATAAAAGCTAGAACAGAAGGTTGACGTGCTAATTCAAGATTTGCCCAGATTCAGATTAATGGAAAATTGACAATATGCGTATGTTGTATATTGTAACCTATAAGCCCCGAACACGTATTGTTTATATTCAGGTAGATGGAGTGTGATTCCTAATGGTACATACTTCCCAAAATTATGTCCTTTATAGCCTAGAATCAAAACTCCTTTTCTTTGTGACATGTTTCACACCCTTAGGTCATCTAACCCGGTTTGGCTTTTGCCATATTTCTCCACCATAATAAATATTATCCCATCAAACAAGACAAACTTTTTATATTATGAGGTTTGTACCTTTTTCACTGAACTATTTCATGAGTGGACTGGGGTGGGGGGGTGAATCGTATAACAATGAAAGAATTTTTGTTTTACTTTACAAAAAGAAAAGCAAACTGGGGGGAGGGGTGGGCAGGAAAGAAAGTGCAACAATGAATGAATGGAAATCCAAAGTCTCGGTAAACGTTCATTAAAATAAAAAAAAACAATAGTAAATACTTCATCACACACAACAAATATTTACTTTTCATGCGCCTTCAATGCAGTCTTCTATTTGTCTTAAAATTTTAAATTTACTGCTTTGTCTTAACCTGATTTTTTACTTCCATTATTTTTTATAATCCCTTATTCACCCACCAAATAGTTACAAAGGATGAATTCTATGCCAGGAATCAGGCTAGAATCTGGAAAACAGTTTCTAGTAACTCAGAACTTAGAAGGGAAACAAGCACCAACGTAAATAACAACATTCATGTAACACAACGACTGACATAAAAGATAAAAAAAAAACCCAAAAGATACATTATTATTTGCCTGTAAAAGGGAAGACATTCATAAATGATATGGTATTTGAGTTGAGCCTTCAAAAATAAATAAGGATTTGCAAATTCAAGCACAGAAGAGGGGGAATGAATATTTCAACTAGAAGCACTGGACAAATATAAGGGCCTCCAGTGACAATAGGTAAAAGTTTGGCTGCCAACCAATAGGGTAGCAGTGGTTCAAATCTACCAGATGCTCTGCAGGAAATAAGACAACGTCATTTTCTCCCATAATTATCACAGCACAGGCACCCTAATGTGGCAGTTCGACCCTGTCCTATACCGTTGTTTTAAGTCTGAATTAACTCAATGGGGCACAAAACATATACGCTGCTTTTTAAAAATAGCAATACACAAGAGATTACAATGCAAGAAGGCTAGGGGAGTGAACTCTAATTACTCATGGGGGGAAAAGCAGAAAGGTGTGCTGGAATCAATGAGACTGGTTCAAGACAGGGCTGCTTTACAAAGCGTCGCTATGAGTCACAGGTGACTCACCAGCACAGTTGTTATGACACACTCCTTTCGTGATTCTGAACCATGCAGTGTGTCCTTGCTCTGTTTGAGGACTGCTTCCTGGTTTAAGTGCACGTTTCGCATAAGCACAGTCAAGTGTTCTGAGATTCCCATTCTCCTCAGGGTTAGCCACATTTGTTGTGATCCAAAAACAGTCAAATGCCTTTGCATAGCCAATGAAATAAAGACAGACATTCCTTTGTTATTCTTTCCTTTCTGCCAAGATCCATCTGACATTGATGATAATGTTTCTAGTGCCACGGCCTCTTCTAAACCCAACTTGTATTTCTGGTTTTCTGTCAATGTACTGTTCCAGCGCTTTCTGGATAATGTTGGGTCACCTTTTTTTTTTGGAATGGGAATAATATAAATTTCTTCTAGTCAGTTGGCCAGGTAGTTGTCCTCCAGATTTCTTAGCACAACCTAGTGAGCACATCCAGGGCAGCATCTGTTTGTTGAAATATGTCATTTGGTATTCCATCAATTCCTGGGGCTTTATTTTTTGCCAATCCTTGAGAGCTGCGTCAATTTCCTCATTGATCATCATTGCCTCTTGATCATATGCTCTTTCTTGAAATTCTTCTGTGCCAGCCCATTCTTTTTGCTACAGTGACCCTGCATACTCCTTCCATCTTCTTTTAATACTTCCTAGATCATTCAATGTTCTTCCCATAGAATCCTTAAGTATTACAGCTCAAGGCTTAAATTTGTTTAGGTCCTTCAGCTTAAGAAATGTCGAGTGAGTTCAGCCCTTGTTGGTTTAGGTCTAAGTTAAAAAACACGGACTATTTGGGCAATAGCATTTACAGTGCCTAAAAGATTTCAGAAAATCTTCTAAATTATAAAACATATTTTGTTTGAACTTCAGATCTATAACTTTGGGAAGTGTTTCTCAAATATCTAAACTAGGACATTTTACTCTTCCTGCTGAACTGGATTACTTCACATTACCATTCAAGTTTTCTAAAATGAGAATTTTTACTTTACATTAAACATCTCTATGATATGTAATCTTTGGAGTTTTTAAAATAATAGTGTTCTTGCAAAGTATTTCATGATCTAGAGTTAGATAATAGTAGATGAAAAACTTAATTCCTAAATATTATAAACACTTTCCTACTCGAGAAGCACAGACAGTAGAATATTCACTTAGTAACACAGAAGTATTACCTGGTTTCTAAGGTACACCTTTACATCTAACATTCACATTCACATAGCCATAGAGTTGAAACTGACATTATGGCTCACCTTCCATGGAGTTTCGAAGGCTGTAAACAGCAAGAAAGGAGATATTTTCCATCTTTCTCCTATGGAGCTACTGGTGAATATGAATCACCTAAGACGCAAAGCCTTGAGATTAGCAGCACAATTCCCTATAGACGACACCACCAGAGCTCATGACATCAAAACTGGAATTCATTTGATGAGCTCTCAGAACATCTGCTGCTGCTGTTCATGCAGAAACACGCAAGCATTTCATATGTTAATCCGCAGTCCAGTAAGATTTTTCAACTAAAAATTTATGTCAATTCTCACAAGTAAAATCTATTAGATATCACTGATAAAAGTATTTTGAAGAAATTCTGCGTAGAAATTATGTATGCCGATGGCATATGGTAATAAACTCGGTTCTTTTGTTCAGTAATGCTTTCTGTCTAGTTCAACTACCCACTGCCTGCTTTCCATTAAGTGGTGCTTCACTGGTGTCACAGGAAGGAACTGCATTTTTCACACGGCTCAACATAATAGTTGATTTCTTTAATTTTCCAGTGTAAGGAAGCTCACTCCAACAATTCTCCAGTTGTTAAATATGATTTTGTTTTAGTATATTCCACTAAAAGGCAGTGGACAAATTAAAAATTTCTTTACAATCTCCAACAGCTGTTCCCTCTGTGGAAAGTTCAGCAACTGTAAATAGCCAATGTCAAGAAGAAGCACGATCAATCTGGGGGGATGAATTGGGGCTTAGAACGAGAAGTTCTCTCACTGTTGGTAGCATGCAGCTGCTCACGCTTTCTGCTCCATAATATTCTACCACATTTTGTTCAACATGTTATAATAAAAACTAAGTTTGATATCATACAAAAAGTGCTGTGATCCTGATTCACATTTAGGTGGTTCCAGAAATGGGTCATGGGCTTTAATAGAAACTCAAGAAATCATTGGCAGAATTCTCAGGATTGCTGAAAATAAGCTTTTTCAATCAATCTCTTCTTTCATTTTTAAAAAAAGAGTTAAATGTCACTGAGCCTTTTTTTTGTACCTGAGTTTAATGTTTCTTTTAATTATAGTTGTAGCTACAAGCTTTTCCAATAATCTTTAGTAT